TTAGAAAAAAAAGAAAATGAGGAAGCTTTGAGACAGTTGAATAATAATGCTTTTATTCAATTGTTGACTGAAAGTGAAAAAAGATCGCTAAACGACTTGGAGCACCTTTTAAACCAGTTAGACACGGCCCAATTAAGGATTGTTCAAGATATCATGTTATTTAGGAACTTTAAATAAATTGTTAAGGAATTTGATAGTTTTAACTAGGCTTTATTAATTAGCCTATCTATTTATATACTGAATATATAATGATCTTGTTACATTATAAAATTTATTTATTAGCTTAATTATTAAAATATATTTTTAAAATAATTTTTTAATTAATTTTGAAAATATTTGATGCAAGAAATTTATTAAATTTCAATTGTTTACTATTATTATATTAATGCTTTTTATAAAAGTAAATAATCAAAGCCATTAAAAATACAGATGACATACTGTATATAAAATTCTAAGAACTTAATAAAAATAAAAAAAACGTTAGCTTCTTATATTATTAATGGTGCATGTAGGCTTAATAAGTAATAATAATAATAATAATAATATGATATTTGAATTTTGTCTTATATATGATCAAAAAATATAAACAAAAATTAATACAACTCAAAACTAAAAAACGGGTTTTTCGAAAATTAAAAATTTTTTTGCAACTTTATAAAAAACTCAAGAAAAATATTAAAGAAACACTTTTTTTTTAAGAAAAAAATCTTATATACTTCTTTTAAAAAACAAAAAAAAAACATGTATAGCAGGCATATAGCTGCATTCAAAATATTAACTGCTTTATACAGTGGGTGGACAAAAGTTTATGGACAACTTTAAAAATTAATTAAATAAAAAACATATTTAAAATTTTTAAAAACTAAACTTTTAAATAAAAAAATTTTAAAATTTTTTTTCAAATTTCTTATTTAACAGATATAATATATAAAAAAAAAAAATTAAAATTAAAAATTTTTAAATATCTAATTATACATTTTTTTATTATTAATTTATGTTCTATTGA